TACATTTTAAAAGAAGACAGCCTATAAAATAGTAGATAAAATATTAGTTTTATTTTAAAATACATACATATTATATTAGCTTTTCAACATTACAACAAACTACCTGAGAAAATCAACTTAATAAAAAGAAAGTTTATTTTGGCTCATGGTTTAGTCCATAGTCATTTGGCCCTGTTGCTTTTGGCCTGTGGCAACAAAGGACACTGTGGTGGTAGTACACAGTGGAGGAGGCTTATTTACTTCCTGGTAGTCAGTAAGCAAAAAGAAAGAGGAGGAAGGGGCCAGGGTGCCAGTATCACCTTCAAACAAACTCCTCCCAATGACCTCCTTTAATAGGTCCCATTTCCTAAAGGTTCTCACCATCTCTCAATAGGCCTGGCAACCAAGCCTTTAATAGATGGTTTTTGGGAACACTCCTGATCCAAACTATAGCACTTAGATATACTAAAATCAGGATGTTGTTCATTTGGTTTGTTTCTCAGTGATGGGATCACAAATATGATAATTAATTTTTTCCTTTTTTTATTTTCTAAAATTTTTCAATGTCTTATTATTATAGCCAAGTACTTGTCACTCCATTTCTCTATATGCTTAACAAAACACTGTTGAAACCTTAAGAACTGTTTGCTAATCTTGTTCCCAGAATGTGCTGTCCCCAACTATGGACTGTCTACTAATCTTGTTCCCAGAAAGAGCTGTCCCCAACTGCCAAACTATAAAATGAAACTTCTCTCCCTGCCCTCTCCAAGAAAAGTATATAAGCTCTGCTCAAGCAGTTCTCAGGGCTCTATCTCTCTTTGCTATAGTAAGACATTGAAAATTTTTAGAAAATAAAAAAAGGAAAAAATTAATTATCATATTTGTGATCCCATTGTAAGGGTCCGGCGAAACATCCGTGTAAGAGACCACAAGAGACTGTCTTATGCAATAGCATAAGGGTGGGTTTCTTTGGAGACCAGCATTTTCTAAAAATTTTCAATGTCTTACTATTATAGCCATAAAACTAGTAAAGCTAAAACTTAAAGCCAGAAAGTCAGCCTCTTAAAAGTATAATAAAAAATTGAAATATATTTATGACATTGTAAATATGTACTAATAAAAAGAGTAAAATATATAATATTAGTCATAATAATAAAACTATGTACAGGGCTGGAGTTGTAGCTCAGAGATAGAGTACCTGCCTAGCATGTGTGAAGCACTGGTTCGATATAAATAAATGAAATAAAGTTCCATCATAAACTAAAAAAAAACAAACAAACAAAAAACTATGTACAATCTCATAAGTTAAAAATTTGGTGGAGGTGGGGACTGGGAATTGAACTCAGGGGGCACTCGACCACTGACCCATATCTTTAGGCCTATTTTGTATTTGACTTAGAGACAGGGTCTCACTGAGTTGTTCAGTGCCTCATTGTTGCTGAGGCTGGCTTTGAACCCACAATCCTCCTGCCTCAGCCTCTCGAACCGCTGGGATTATAGGCATATGCCACTGAACCAGGCTTCGTGAAATACAAAAAACTTGTTCATTGTTGAATATTAGTTGATACATAAAAAATCTGCACTGCTGGGAGCAGTGGCCCATACCTGTAATCCAGTGACTCACGAGGCTGAGGCAGGAAGATTACAAGTTCAAAGTCAGCCTCAGCAACTTAAGAAGGCCCTAAGCAACTCAGCAAGACCCTATCCTTAAATCAAATACGAAAAAGAACTAGGGATGTGGTTCAGTGGTTAAGCACCCCTGGGTTCAATACCCAGTACCCCCCACCAAAAAAAAAAGTCTGTACTAAGACTTCTCTATCTTTGCATGAAATAAACTTAGGTTCCTTATGTAGAGAAAAACTATTTTATTAATGATAATGGAGCCTACAACAATCCTTAAATTCTTAGTTATTTACAACAATAAAAAAATATTTTCTAAAGCACTAAAATTGGGTTATATTTTATAGATTCTTCTGGTACTTTCAACTAAAACATATGAACAAAATGTAAAAGGTACTTCCATTAAAAGATTGCGAATCCCTTCTATAAACCTCAGGATGTATAATGCCCAAAATTATGATTGTTAATCATTGTCTCTACTTTAGAAAATAAACAAACATTTGACCCTTCAATGCATAAAGAAGTTAATGTGTTTAAAGATTTAAAGCATATAAAATTTATAAAAATATCCCCTTGAACCAAAGATAAATGCTATTGTTCACTTAGCTGGATAGGAACTGAGACACAGAAAGTTTGAATTAATGGCCAAGCCAGAGAGTCACAGCAGCTGCAGGAATAATACCTCTTTCAAGAACCTGTAGTCTCACCCCAGAAGGCAGACAAAAATAAAAGGTTAATATCTATTTAACTGAAAATTCATTATGTCTCTATAATCCACTGTATTGCATCTTCTTTCACTCATGAAACTATTTTTTATGAGCACAATATTTAACTATTACCCTGGATTTTTCATTAGTTCAGATTTTAAAAGGACTGGACAGCTAACAATAGTCACAAGTAAAAACCAATTACTTCATATATTTAAAAGATGCAAATTTAAAGTGATGGTAAATAGGAAAACTTACTGATTACAAATAACCGTATCAAAATTTATGAACAGGACTATATACACATAATGGGGAAGTAAAGATGTGTTTTATACCTGGAAAGTACCAAATAGATTGCTTGATGATAGGGGGATAAGAAGCTCCTGAGTGACCTTGGAAGCAGATCCCTCAGCCTGTCAAGCTCTCAGAGGCTTACAGTCCCCACCACCAATAAGAGGACAACTTCAGGAGACCCAACAGTCTTTCTTAAGTCCTGATTCATAGAAAGAATGAGATGATAATTGTTTTTTTTTGTAGCACTAGATACCTATAACAGTGAAATACAGGTCCCTAGAACAGTCTGTTTTTAAGATAGACCTGTTCCAGGAACACATACTTCTGGCAACTATTCCACTCCAACTATTGGTGCATATATTTAACATCTCTGGCTTAGATTCTAAATATGAGAAAGCTGGATGTAATTATTATAATTCCTCTATTTATTGTTTCTGATTAGAACATTGCTACAGTCTATAAAGGGGTGATCGTTCCCCAAAGGCTGATGTGTTGGGAGGCATGGTTCCCAAGGCGAGGATATTAAGGAGGTGGTTGGATCTTTAAGAGATGGGACCTCATGGGAGATCCTTAGGTGTCTGCAGGCCCAGCTCTTGAAAGGGATTAAAGTAGTTCTTTTAGAATCTTTGGTAGTTTCCCTGAAAGGGTTGTTAATAAAAACCTTAGCTGGCCCCACCCCAGCTCTCTGGCTTCCTATATCCTGATTGCTTGCTCCTACTCGGTGCTGCATCTGCCAGGAATGGATGCAGCCAAGAGGCCTCTTACCAGAACTGAGTAGCAGACACCAAATTCTTGAACCTCTGAAACTGTAAGTAAAATAAATCTCTTTTCTTCCTAAAGTTAGCTACCTGAAGGATTTTGTTACAGCAAAGAAAAATAAACTAATATAGAACCTAAGTGTGCTCATTTTTCTTAATCCGTTTTCTTTCATTTCCACTTTCTACTCATCCCACTACAAATAAAATGAACCCCTGAACTTCCTAAACTTCGAAGCTTTATGTTTATTTTACTCCTTTACTTTTGTTGGGAATGTTCCTGAAGAGCAACAATTATAATAATTTTCTTTTAAACTTGTCATGCATAAAATCTGATGTGCTTAAGTTGTTGAACAAATGTTTCATTATACTAATACAAGAGGTGAACACATAAGCAATCCTTAGGTTGTGAGTATTCCTTCCAGATTTCTGCAACAGTGTGTGAATGTGGTGCTGGGGAATTGAACCCAGGGGCTTATGCCTACCAGGTAAGCGCTCTACCATTGAGCTACATCCCCAATTAATCCTCTGCCTACAAAGATATTTAGATTGATCTCTTTACTACAATAGCCAGACACCCATACCATAAATTCTTCTCTGTAACTTGCAGAAGACACTTTCTCCAGTGGCTCAACAACAGTCCCATTATAGCAAATGCCATTAACTACTGGGCATTCAAAGGACAGAATAGTAACCCCCCTTCCTCCTTAACTCTACAAACACATAATTAGTTGGTCTCTTGAAGTATATGCTATCGTGTTTTGTTTGCTACTCATCTCTTAAACATTATTTCTGCCCAAACAAATAAGAAAAAAATTCAAAGTAAATCTCATCTTCTGATTCAATCTTCCTGAGTCCCACCAATATCATAAATTTACAAAAGGTAAAAGTAGTCAAAAATCCAAAAAACTTCCTTTATCACACTTTACAAATAAGTCTTCTTCACTAACCTGCAGTTGCTGTGAAACTTCATTTCTTTAATGCTAAAACACCAAAAGCAGGTGCCAAATATAATGCACATAATTTGTAAAGGGAGAAAGCAGAAATCTTGCCCACATTTACTGAAACTTTATAGCCATGAGATCTCGGCACATAAAATTTTTAGTTTCTATGATCGCTACAAATAAAACATACAATTCTTAATTTCAACATGTTCAGCAAATTCCCAGTCACGTTTTTCTGAGGTTGGTGTGATGCAATGATTTTTAGAATGTCAATTTAAAAAATGGGATAGGAAGTCCTGGGGTCTCTTGGAAGGGACCATATCAAACATCACTGAACCCAGGGCTCGAAGGTCTCTTCTACCAGTTAAAGAAGGTAGTGGGCTCCTTCTGCAAGACTCCCGCACCCTGCCCAGGGCCAGGTCAACGCCAAGGGCGCACAGTCCTGGAAAGGTTGGGTGTCTACGGGATCCAGAAGGTGCCGAAGCCGGAGGGAAGAGTTGGGGCTCCGCGCAGACCACTGGGCCACCAGACAGCGCCGGCCCGCGGTCAGGCACACCCGGAGTGCCTTCCCTCCCCGCCCCTTCAACCAGGACCTGCCAGGTTTCAGCGTCGGACGGGCCCAGCCTCTGGCTTCCCTCAGTGCGCAGTTTCGCGTCCATTCTGTCCCCTCCCGTCCGACCCCTAGCAGCAGCCATACCCACCCTCAGTTCTCGCAGCTGCAGCGCGTAGCGGCCCCACCCCTGGGTCGGCACCATTGAGACGCCGGTTGCCGGCCAGAGCAGCCCTAGCTTCAACGTCCGCCCAGAGGACGCCGGGAAACCGGCCCTTTTCGGAGCGGAGAGGAAGCGATACTCCGGTGCACGATGGTTGAGCCTGTGGGCGCCTTGAACAAATCACAAACCTCCCTAAAAGAGACCTTTGGACGACAGGGTAGGAGGTGGAAAGTGCGTTCTTGGTTTCCTTCTGTCAAACCTCAGGATTCGTTTCTCCGCTTAAGTGGTTTCAAGTCTTAACCGCTAACCTCCCCACGACGCACCCAAGTGGAGGCTCGGAAGCTGGAGACCGAGAAGTGGCTTCACCTAATGTGGGACGCGCAGTCCGCTGTGGGTCTCCAAGGTGTAGAGATACTTCCAGCTTCTTTCATTGGTCCTTCTGGGTTGTCGTGGAGTTTTTCAAGAGGCGGTGGGATCCCAAGCCTGCTCAGACCTGACGTTCCTCAGTAGCGCTTTACCGCCACCTTGGGGTGTTGTCGATAAATCTTTGCTACTATGCTGGTGGATGTTGGAAGCTAGACTTTTGGACAGTGACGTAGCTAGAACACTTAAGCATGACTACTAAAATGTTTAGGGAAAAAAAAAACTGCAAACAGGGCTGCTTGAAACTAACTAGATTCACCAGTTTGTTTGCAAGGACTGCGACCAGGTGCTTCCCATCTCCCTGCTTCGCAGTTTTGGGTACTGCCTTCATCACGGAAACATCTACCTTAGAAAAAGGACCAGCCCCAAAGAAAACGCCTCTTACAGAGAGACATTTTTCACCTTTCTTATCGTTTCTCAAAACAAGTGTCAAATGGAAAGGAAGGGCAGCAGTGGAATAAATAACTTAGTTGAAGCAATGTTTAATCTCAAGCAAATTCCTAGGCTGTCCACAGAATCTCAGTTTCTCAACCACAGAACTTTTCATTGCTTGCCACAGTCTATAATTTGAGTGCTTTTAGCCATGGTAAGGGCACACTTTCTGTCTGAATACAGTTGTTTCATAATAGTCTTGGGTTTCTGGAGCTGAGGGACAACATAGATGACTTCCTGTGAACCAAAGCAGAACAAATTGTTGGTTTTCTGTCTCTCTCTAGTCAATTTACTACCTAAAGACACTGATCCATTTACACAACATATACTGAGTGCTGTGTGTGCCAGGCACTATGGTAACAAGGCTACAAAATTACTTTATGGAGGATATTCTAGTAGTGGATATTGGCCATAATGAAGCAAACAAGCTGGGCAGATTGTGGTAGGCACTTACAGGAAGTAAACAAGTAGTTAGGGAGGCTTCTTTTAAGAAATATTTTTGCTAATACCTAAAATATGAAGAAGCCCAGAGTGAGGAGCTAAAAAGAGAATCTTGTGCCCCTTCAACTCATTGACATGATCACTACAAATCTACTAATTCTTTTCTCTTCATTGTTTTCCTTTGTTGCTTTATCTTTAGATATGAAGAATCTGATTATTTATTTTGTGGTGCTACTATTTTATTTTTGAATTGAACTCAGGGCCTTGTGCATTCGATGCAAGCATTTTACCAACTGAGCTATATTCCCAGCCCCAGCCTGATCTTTTTAAATAGAAAATTAGAACATTTCTGGTTGTCCGGTAGTATAATCTTACATTCTTTTTAGATATAAGTTTTTGTTCTTTCCATAGGCAAGGCTACAATAAGCACTTTTGGTGAGGACATTTCTGTTAATTCCACACATTTTGCAGCATAAATCTTTCTGTATGTTCAAAAGAAATGAAATCCAATTCATGAGACAGTTTAAATAAAACAGTCTTGGCTGAAGTAATTGATCCTTAGCTTGCTTGCTTGTTGTTCTGTTTTGTTTAGATTTAGTTATCTTTTAATAGTTCTTTGGGAGTAGAAAGTAAATAGGAGTTACTGGATACAAAAAAATAGTGAATATGACACAAGATTAAAAACAGCAAAAATTCATAATTTTACAAAAGTTTCATAAATCTGACATTAAATGAAAGAGTTCAAAATAGTTCTTTATTAATAAAATTTATTGTATGTATTTAAAAATTTTGCAAATTAGGTAAAATACAACCAAAGTTAATTGTCAATTCTCATAGTCATGTAGAAGTAATACATGCAATTTCTTGGCTTACTAATAATTTTGTACCAGTCATTTGAAACAACATCCTCAAGATTTAATAATAATTCCATTTTTCACTTTTTAGAGTTTGATAAAAGACAATCAATATCCTGAAGAATTTTGGAAGTTTTTTCCAATGCGACTGATACTTTCTTTTCATTAAATTCTTCTAGCAAGGTTTCTGAAGATCTTGGTTTATAATAATCAGAAGACTGTTCATTTTTCTTGTTAGAAATCTGGTTTAGGATACCACTATTCTCCAGTAGCACTGAGTTACTTAATTAAGGAGCTTTTCCCCACATTTTAAAAATTACATAAATATTTTTATTTTCAGAAAGCCTGGCTTTCATATCAAAATATTATTTCTCAATAAGATTACTTGGATTCATAATAAAGTAGGGACTTCAGAAATTAGAACTACCCCTTATACATGATGGAACACATTATAAAGGAGAGGGAATATTTACATGTGTGTTTGTATTGAGGCTTGGTGATACGGAGGAAATGAATGAAAATCTCAGTAACGTTTCATGTTCTTAAGTGTTATAAAAATGGAACAAGAATAGCAATGACAGGATTATAAGCAATCTGTGTAGTGTCTTTATTTTCTAAGTAAAAGAAATCTAAACTAAAAAAAGGCCTTTCCTCTGTTCCAGAACTACTTTATTATTTCAGTAACATTCAAAAACCACAAGAGAAAACAAGTTTAAATAAGTGGGGTGAGAATGTACAGAATGAAAGGTTTCATAAAAGAAGTCAGAAGTAGGTACTTAATAATTTTAATAATTTAGAATAATATAAGTGATAAAGTCCCCAAAGAACACCTTTACCCTAGTTCACTGTTCCTTGTTAAAGTTAAATCCAGAGAAAAGTGTTAACATGATGTGCCTTCCATAAATAAGAAAACATCTTAAATATTTGCTGACTCAATAAAGCCCTACAATATATAAAGTATGGATTAATATTTCATAAATTATATCCATGAATTAAGTCTAGAATTGAAGGGGATTAATTCTGCAGTATAGTACATTCTTTTTTGGGGTGAGGGTGGATATCGGGGACTAACTCAGGGGCATTTGGCCACTGAGCCATATCCCAGCCCTATTTTGTATTTTATTTAAAGACAGGGTCTCACTGAATTGCTTAGCGCCTGGCTTTTGCTGGGGCTGGCTTTGAACTCAAGATCCTCTTGCCTCAGCCTCCCAAACAGCTGGGATTACAGGCATGCACCACCATGCCCAGCAGGACAGTACATTCTTTTTAAAGGATACAGTTAAACTTCTGTATCTTTTCAAGTTCAGAAGCAACAGACCTGTGCAAAAAAAAAAAAAAAAAAAAAACAGGAAAAAAGTAAGTTCATGCTGATTTTTTTTTTTTGGTACCAGGTATTGAACCCAGGAGCACTTAACCGCTGAGTCACATCCCAAGCCCCTCTTTTTGTTTTGAGACAGGGTCTAAGTTGCTTAGGGCCTTGCTAAATCACTGAGGCTAGCTTTGACCTTGCAATCTTCCTGTCTCAGTCTCCAGAGTCACTGGAATTATGCATGTACACCACCATACCTGGCATGCTGATTCTTTTTTATTTATGAAATTTCAATAAGCATACTTGACTTTTTTTCCAAAAATGTTAAGAATTCTCTTTATATTAGCTTTACTTAGCAGCAAGTTGACTTAACTAATATTTACTGAATGCTTTTAAAGGACAATGAATAAGTCTCCAAAGATTTTGTAATCAAGTATTGATATTTTAAGGTTACAGGTTTTCCTACTAATTCTTCGTACTAACCCGGAATACCTTCTACTCTTTCTCTCTAAAGTATACCTGAACTTTAATAACCTATTAAATCCCATCCCTTCTAGGAAAGATGTGACCTCTCACTGAATTTTTACAGCATTTATGTTAATCATATACTTAATTGTAATGTCTTCTCTTGAATATTTAACTTTTTGATCTTCCTACCTAGATTGTCTCTCAGAAAAAAAGATCTTTTAAAATTTTTCTGTACTTTTCATTGGTTTAATGATTAATTTTAGAAAGGCTTCATTTATAGAGAACTCTTAAAATTAGATGGTTTGGGAGGTCCCAAGTTTTTACACAGTTAAATTAGACATTAAAACATGAATCTTTAAATTTCTTCTGGAATAGACTATTAACTTATTTCATTTAGCTCTTACCATGTATGAAAAATAGACAATGAGTATGAGGTATATAGGTTTCAATGTATAAAACTAGCAGAACCCCATACATGTGTGTTCTTTTACCTTATGAAGCTAGAACGATATGTGAGCAGTAGCATACAATTACAAATGATGTAAACTTTACTTTCTATAAAAAATTAGTGAGGACATTAGTCTAAAAACATGTTTTTATTCAAGTTACTTGAAAAGGCTATTTTAGCTGGGTGCACACCTATAATCCCAGTTTTTTAGTCAGCTTTTTCGCAGCTGTGACCAAAAGACCTGACAAAAACAATTAGAGGAGTACAGTTTATTTGGGGGCTCATGGTTTCAGAGGTTTCAGTCCATAGATAGCCAGCTCCATTCCTCAGGACTGAGGTGAAGAAAACATCATGGCAGAAGGATGTGGTAGAGGACACCAAGTCAGGATATGGCCACCAATAAGCAGAGACAGAGACTAAGCTCAGCTCTCAAAATATATACCCTAAAGGCACACTCCCATTGACCCACCTCCAGTCACACCCTATCTCCCTAGAGTCACCACTCAATCCCTTGTCAGGGGATTAATGAATTGATTAGGTTAATATTCCCATAACCCAATCATTTTACCTCTAAACTTTCTTTCATTGACTCATACAGGAGCTTTTGCTGAACACCTAATTTAAACCATAACATCCAGCAACTTGGGAAGCTGCAGCAGGAGGATCACAAGTTTGAGGCCATCCTTAGCAACTTAGCAAGACCCTGTCTCAAAAAAACAAACAAAAAAAACAAAGGGCTGGGGATGTGGCTCAGCAGTGAAGTATCTCTGGATTCCCAGTACTAAAAAGGGAATGTGGCTTTATTGGCTTTACTACAATGGGTCATATGTACCTTCTTGCCAGCTTGCAATCTTTTCTTTTCCTTGTATACTAGTTTATGGATGTAAATGAGAGAGATCTTTGGTCATTTTAAGCATCTGTGGAAAAGAACTTGGATATAACTTACTCCAAAGCCTGCAGACTTATCATCATTGCAAATCACCTTTAGCATAATACAATTTTTTTTTCTGGCATAAGCAACCATAACAATCTTTAATTCGATTGCTCACATGATGAACCAACTTCTTATGAAATATATTCTGCACTCTTTTTTTTACTAACATCCATATTAAAATGTCCAATTAATAAGCTAATAATGGTGAGGCAGAAAAAACTGAAATATGATTTAGGCAGCTGTTCACTATATAATCTCTTTTTCCTTCAGCCAACTCTGACAAGAAAACAAATCACAGTGGAAATGTCTTATCCTTTGCAAGGGGATAGAGCTACTCCTCAATTCCTTTATCTTATCTCTCTGCTGTTGCTTCCATCCTTCCACCCACAGCTTCCATAAACAATGTGCACTTTCACTTTATAGTATTTCTTGACAGCTATTCTTTTTCAGCTTTTATATAAGAAGTTTGCATTTTACAAATGCTAGCTGTGGTGAAGTGATCACGTTTATAGCCATGGATAATTTCCTTTTCTTCTAAACTGTTTTTTTTAAAATATTTATTTTTTAGTTGGACACAATACCTTTATTTTATTTATTTATTTTTATGTGTTGCTGAGGATCAAACCCAGGGCCTCACATGTGCTTGGCGAGCACTCTACCGCTGAGCCACAACCCCAGCCCCTAAACTGTTTTTTATTAATTACTCAAGCAACTTTTCAGCATTAGCTGAAGGATGCATCTGGAAAGGTAAATCCTTACATACTTGAGATTTTCAAATAATACCTACTGATTTGATTTGATTTGTTCCAAGAAGTAACTTAGGTTCCTAAATTGTTTCTGGTATCCTTTCCCAGTATATTCAGATTATACCCTCACTGATATGAATCTGCTGAATGACTTCTTCCTGTCGTTTTCCAGTTTAGGAACTTGTATTTATGTCACATTTGAACTCTATTTACAACAAGATCCATTAAAATTCATCCTATACCCTAGCAGAAATCATCTGCTTCATAAAAACTATCTTCTATCTCCATAGGCCAAAAGATTCTTTTTGCCTCTGCCCTTGCTTGCTTCCTACAATATCTTATTTTTTCTAAATATTCCTTTACAGCCTGGTCCTAGTCCTCTGCAAACTGAAAGGCACATAGAAGGGATTGAAATACTTGATTTGTTATTTGTTAATTAATTTGGGGCAAGTAATTAATATGACAGAAATTATTTAAAAATCAACTTTTGCTGAAAGCTTGTTAGTCAACATTTTATTCCCATTAATACTAATCCCCTTTACATCTTCCATGAACTTTTGAAGTTATCATATGTAAAAGCCTTTCATTTTGAAATTTTCAATGCAAAGTTTTCTGTTCCTCAGATGAAATATAATAAATTAAGATATCAGATTTGAAATAATTTTCAAGTTTAAAGTATCAAAAGCATTATAGGAGTAAAATATATTTAAAACTAATAAGTTTCCTTGAGAACAACAGTTTCAGGGGTTACTACTTGATACTTTAATTTCCATATATTAGTTGGCTCTTCTAGAGAGATTAAAAGAAATATAAATACCAATTTTCTTCAGGAATAAAAGCTGAAGGATGTGTGAGCATCTCTCTTGGACTAATCTGGGTAAGTCTTCTGCACCATGATATTACTGTTGTCACATATCTAGAATGAACACATTAAAATAAATACTTGAAAATGAACTTTTATGGGTTCTACACAAGTTTACAAAAAATGGAAAAATCATTAAAACAATTTGGAAAAAAGGACAAATAAAAAATTAATTTTCTAAATCTTCCTCATTAGACAAAAAGGCAAGCCTTTTCTATTTTACATAAAAAATAAAATGATTTATTCAGTCATAACAAAGATACCATTTAAGTCAAAATGAAGATAATATTTGAATTTCACTTAAAGCTCAAATTCAACTATTCAAATTTTCCTTTTGGTTTTTCAAAGTAAATTGAGTTTCCTTAAATTTTATCATGAAAATATATCTACACATAAGACTATGTGAGCATTTGCTTACTAAATTTAAACCAGAAGACACCATTAATATGTACATATGTGCATGAACACACACATAATTATAACTGAATATACAAAACAAATATTGAGTTCAATAAAGTCGAATAGAAAATGAATTCAAGAGGTAAAAAAGCAATTCTTTTGTTAACACTGTCAAGTAAAATTGCTAAAATGTCAAGACTACCACAAGTAGAATTACCATAACTAATAACAAATCACAAAAACTCAAAATGTATATTCATAAAAACTGATTTCAAGAATCTTCCCAATTTTCAGAATCATTATCAGCTCGTTTAAACTTTACTTTATAGAATATACATACTTTTTGTTAACCATGATTGCAAATCTTATTTCATATTGGTTAGAAGATCAGAATTGGTTAGCACAGTTGACCATAGTCCAATCACCATAGCAAGTCAGTTATATATTTAAAAAAAATACAAGGAAGTGTAATTAAAGCAGAACTTAGTTATGCTAAATGTCAGCAGAGCTGAACACTGAAGCCTGATGAAATTACTTCATTCATATTATCCATATGGAAAAACTAAAAATGTATAGAACATTTAAATAATGTTTATATGCTTCCTTTCTGTCACTTAAAACATGAAAATATTTTTTTTCAGTGCCAGGGAGCAAACCTAGGGTCTCATGAGTACTAGGCAAGTCCTTTACCACATTCCCAGCCAAAAATAATTTTTAAAATTGCTTTCTCAGTACCTTTCATATGGTCCAGGGTGTTCAATTTCAATTAACTCATCTTGTCCATCAGGAAAAGTTAACTTACACCAACCTAACTTGAGACCTTGATTCACCTTAAAAAGCAAGGAGGAAAGGTAAATTTTATCACTCTAAAACTGAAAACAAAAACATAAGCAACCTCTTCTAACTTAATTATCAGTTTAAGAAAATAAGTAGATTGAATAATGAAAATTTTATTTTGACAATTTAAACATTATATTTTACACAACAATGGGTATCAGTCACCACTCACATAATTATTAAGAGAATAAAAATACTTGTGCTATAATGAGTTATCTTTATAAAAATGACTAATTTTGCCACACTGTTCTGACTTGCAATGAAATCAGTAAAGTCTCTTGACAGAATTGATACCTAAAAAATTTGAGATAATGTGATTTTGTTTTCTTTGTTCTATATTCCATGGGTAAACAACAATAAAAATTATCTTCCAAACTATAGATAAGAAACTATAGTTAAGGATAACGTATATTTCAAAAAAAAAGCAAAAAGACAGAATTTTGAATGTTTTCACCACAAAGAAATAATAAACGTATAAGGAAAAATGTTTATCCTGATCTGAACATTATACAATAAAAACATGTATCAAAACACCACACAGTGCCCCATAAATATGTTCAATTTTTATGTCAGTTAAAGATGCTTCAATAAATCTTAACTCTACACAAAAAAAGTAGATTTCAGCTGGGCACAGTGGCACATTCCTGTAATCCTAGTAACGTAGGAGGCTGAGGCCAGAGGATCACACATTTGAGGGCAGGCAGCTTCAGCAATGTAGTGAGGCCCTAAACAACTTAGTTAGACCCTGTCTCAAAATAAAAAATAAAAGGCTCATTGGTAAAGCACCTCTGGGTTCAATCCCCAGTACGAAAACAAAAACAAAACATGTAGATTTCAATCTGAAGGATACTTACCTGTCCTTTTTCAACAGAAGAGCTGAAATTCCAATTTAGGGTTACAGTAATGCCATCTACAAAGATAGCATGTACTTTGTCATCAGAGTAGGCAAGAAATCTTCCCATGTTGGGTATGAATGATTCTTGCAAAAGCAAAGGCAATATATTGCTATCATTTATTCCAGATTTCTAAAACCAAGTAAATTTAAAAAGCAGGAAATTAAAGTTATCCATTAACAAGATTTAAATTAACATTAATGAACTCTGAGGCAATTTCCCATTCTGATTCAGAAGTTTAATACTGTAGAATTCTTAAGTATGTTTTAACTTTTCCAGAAGAGGATACCCAAAATAGTCTTATTTCACAAGTAGATTAAGTTTTAACATCTTTATAAAACTATTGTTCTCCTCTACATAAAAAATACACAAAAATTAGGAAATATGGCAACATAGAGGTTTACAATTCAGTGAGTATGGATAAAAAAAGAAATGTCCGAGAATCATTTCCTCCAAATCAGAATTAAAGAATTTATTTTTATAGTATAATAAATGTAAAATACACATCACATGATTTATACTATGTTTCAAATACAATCAATTCCCAGTCCCTTTCCCTCCATTAATAGCAAAAACAAACTGGCTAGGGGCTTGGCTGAGAGACAGAGTGCATGCTTAGCATGCTCAAGGTCCTAGGATCAATCCCCAGCGCCTCCACCAGCCCCTGCACACAAATAATTAAAAGTTTGATTTTTCAATGTTTGTCAATTAGGTGGCTGTTTTTTGAATAATACTGAATAAACCAATATTAATGTTACAAGAAATTTCTCTCACAACTTGTTTGAAAACAGTTTGATCTTAGAAGTATGATATAAATCATAAAACCATTTTTTAAAATCTTGATTTTGAAATAACTTTAACATACCATTTTCCAGCAGCATATGCAATAGTTATGACTTAAAGAAAGTCTCGTCTTGGCACAATGTTGGAGAATTCTGTGAACATGAAAAAATTCCTTAAACATTTGCAAATAATGACATCTTCCCATTCTAGTAACCCATCCACATGCCATGTAATATTTTAGATGACAAGCAAATGATTTCCACTGAAACAGGTTTTTAATTCCTTTTTTCTAGAAATCCTTAATCCCCTAGAAAGTAACTACTGTTGTTTTCCTCTATACTAATATTTCCTAGTTAAGGCTATTCCTTCAATTTTTATCAATAAAATGACTCCATGGAGAGAATTAAAAGGTGTTCCTTTTTAAGAGGTGATAGATTTACAGGTCTGAAAGGTTTAGCATAATCTAAAAATGATGGGTAAGTAAGTCAACTATTTCTAGGATAACAAATTACAGATTCTGCTCCTTTAAATCTATTTTGAAAATTGCTTATAGACGTAAATTTATAAAAATAAATGATTTAATTCAATAATTCATTTTCATTATTCTGGGTGTCACAAATTAAGAGAATGTTAACAAGTGTACTTCATCTGTAATATACTCTCATAAATCTCTATTAATTTGAGGATAACAAAGAACTAGGAAGTTTTTCAAATATATCATAAAAACCTCAACTTGATTTGAAGAATAATAATGATGCCACACTGACCTACAGTAAAGGCGCTTATTTCCTCTAAGCACTTGGTCACCATATATGAATGTTTCCCTATAGTTTTAAAGCCAGAAGTATTCTTGTAATAATATAGATTACCTTATTTTATAAATTATGAGAATAAGGGCTGGGGCTGTAGCCCAGTGGTAGAGTGCTTGCCTCACACGTGTGAGGCACAGGGTTCAATCCTTAGCACCACATAAAAATAAATAAATAAAGATATTGTGTCCATCTTTACAAAAATAAAAAATAAAAAAAAATAAATTATGAGAATAGAAAAGTTAACACATTTTACCAAAGACATATACTTTTATTTTATCTGCCAATTATTCTCAATTTAACCAAAGGAAAATGTATCAAGGTTTACAGATGTACAACACTTGGTTCAACAGAATGTGAAGAAATTACCTGGTGGCCTGCTTAATCAGAGAACATACAGAGAACGGATTTCCTGGTCTATCTGGAGGGAGGTTATTTACTGAGTAAGTTTTCTCTTCTCTCTGAAAATTAGTTTAAAATGAAAAATCTCATTAATAACATATTTTGCCAGCCAGGCATGGTGGTACATGTCTGTAATCTCAGTGGCTCAGGAGGCTGAGGCAAAAGGATCACAAATTCAAAACCAGTCTCAACAACTTAGTGAGGCTCTTAAGCAACTCAGGGAGACCCTGTCTCTAAATAAAATATAAAAAAGGGCTGAGGATATGGCTCAGTGTTTAAGTGCCCCTGGGCTCAATCTTCATACCAATAATGATTATTATTATTATTATTATTTGCCTTTATTACCTTTTTATTGAAAATGTTTTTACATAGTAAGAAGGCAGCATTTATTTTAATAGTCTAACACTATAATACCTGTATATTTCAAAGGTTTTCTATGATGCCTTTCCATTGTCTAATTTTTTTAAAGTATAGAATTCCACATATACACTCTTTTTAGTCAGTTTTTTTTTCTTTTTCTTTCTTTTTTTTTTTTTGCTGCTGTGATCCAAAAAAACCTGACAAGAACAATATTCAGGAGAAGTTTATTTTTATTTTCAGAGGTCTTAGTCCATAGATAGCTGGCTCCATTCCTCGGGGCTCTAGGTAAGGTTGAACATCATGGTGAAAGAGTGGTGGAGGGAAGCAGCTTACAAGTTGATCAGGAAGCAGAGAGAGACTCCACTTGCCAGATATAAAATGTTTACCCCAAAGACACACCCCTAATGTACACCTCCTCCAGCCATACCCTACCTGCCTCAGTTACCACTCAGGTAATCCCCATTAGGGGATTAATTCACTGATTGGGTTATGGCTCTCATAACCCAATCATTTCACCTCTGAATGTTCTTGTATTATCTCACATATGAGCTTTTAGGAGTCTCCTACTATCTAAACCATAGCACCACTCAATACATTCTAATAGCCTATAACTTACTGTCCAATTTAAATCTTGGCTATACATAAACTAATGTAACAAAACTAATTTTCCTACATATTAGCAGAAACTTTATCTCATAAGCCACTCTTTTACCCGAAGAGAAAAGGCTATATAGGTTTTAAAAATAACTATTTTAATTGGATGAATATATCATTTTGTTAAATTTTGTTAATGGAAGACCTATTCCTATAGTTGGTGGAAGACAATATTATTTACATAGTTTTTTTTTTTTTTGGGGGGTGGTGCTGGAGATTGAACCCAGGGCATCATGAATGGGAGGCAAGAACTCTACCACTGTGCCACATGTCCAGCCCAGCCCTGCAGGTTCTTAAAATTAAAAGGAAAAAACAATTATTATTTTGTTATTCCTTCTGCATTTTCTCTTTCTTAGACCTGCTAGTGTTTCCTAGTGCTTGTCTCAAGGCTTTCTTTTTGACTTCCTGATTTCTTTTTAGGTAATCCCAACAGGGCTTAAAGCTATGTCACAATAGTCATAAGTGGCTAACATGTGTGGAGCAGACGCTATATGACAAGTACTACGCTATATACTTCATATGGATTATTTCATTTATTCCTTAATTCTGAAATAAAAATTATTAATACCTGGTTTCTAGATGAGAAAACGGGGCTGAGGGCTAAGTAGCAATAGAGATCTAATTTGAACCACAAGAGAGTATAGCTTATCCTCTTTACTATCAGGGAAAGCAGATTGGTTTCTAAGTCAGACAGATAATTGCCGGTCTCCTTACTAACTATAATGATGGCCAGGCTATAACTTTTTAAAACAGAATTTCTGATCAATTTTCCTTGATGTTATCAAGTTGTCCCCATGAAGGCTGAACCAATTAATACTCCAACCAACACTATGAGAAGCACCCTTTTACCAAACCTTTTAGGGCAGTGATGCTACCAATTTAGTTTTAGACAATTTGATAAGTGAAAAATGGCATATCATTGTTGTTATAATTTGTATTTAAGTAATTTGACATAAGGAGTAAAGCTGGACATGCTTTCAAGTATTAAGGTTTTTCATTTATATTGCCTTTTCTAAAGCTTAAATGATTCTTAAACTTTCCTCATTTTTTTATCAGGGGCTTTGGTGTGGGGGTTTTTGTTTTTGCTTTTTGGTCTTTTTACTGCTAATTTAGTGTGAAATTAGAATATTTTATTCATTTATCTTTTCCATATTACGTGACTTATGCGATTTTACATATTTAAAATTTAATACAAATTTGAAAATCTTCTCAAATTTCTTTTCTTTTATGCTTTCTGTTTTTCTGTATTTGTACCTTAAGGCCCCTCATATGCAAAGATTACAAACATTATTCTTCTGTATTTTCTTCTAACAATTATAAAGCTTGCTTTCTTACATTTAGCTCTTTTTAATTTACCTGGAATTAATTTTTTCGGAGTATGTATTAAAGCAAGAAGCAAAACAATTTTATCCCCCAAAAAGAGTCAATTGTTTTTAAAGCCTTTCATCAAAGCAGTTAGAGAAGAATGGAAGTGTTGAACAGAGCTCTGAGAATAAAGCCCAAAGCAGTCCACCACAAAAGAAAATCTTGTTTGGAAATTGGGTGTTTTTATCCCAAAAGCTCATGCTTCTAAAGAACATTATATTTGCCTCATTAAAAAAAATCATCACTCTCCCCCTGACAGCTTTGAGTAAAACTGAAACTCCATGAAGATGTTCTACATTTATCTTGCAATATTGCACATCACCTAACATACAGCAGTCAGCAGTAAGACTATGCATACTCAACTTATTTGCCTGTTGACTTGATTGGACACAACACATTCACGTACTTACATATACATATGCATTATTAGTTCATACGTTCATCTCATTTCTCATTTGTCTCTCTACTAGATTAAGAAGTGTTGAGGGCAAGAACTCCTTCATCTTAACCAGTGCGCTTACCAGTGTGCCTACCAAAGGGTAAGTGTTGATGTTTATTGAATGAATGAACACTCTCCCAGAAACAGACCTCTGTAGAGGAGCTGCTCAAATATATACTGAAACATTTACAAATGAAATTATTTTGGGGGTTTACTTAAAAAATAAAACAGGGAATTTGGGGCAGATAGTGGGAAGTATAGATGAACAAGTTGGATAATGGTAACATAAGAATTCATTATATTTGCTCTCTATTTTTGTACACGTTAGAAATTTTCCATAGTTAAAACACATCTCCCTACTGACTCTGATGATTTTATTACTTAAATACTCCACTCTAGGGCAAAGCATTTTATTCTATTCCTACCTATAAAACAAAATAATGTGATATTATGGTAATTGCTATAATAAGGTGGATGTCAACTGTCAGACTGGCAGGAAACAATTTAACATTCATCAACAAATACCCACATTATTATTTATATGGTCAATAAACATGTTATGTTTCAGTGTTTTCAAAAACAGAACAATATTATTCAACCATCTAGTTGTATGTAAAGATGAATTAAGAGGTCTTAAACAATTACATAGTGGGTGGGAAGTGGGTGGGAAATCTGCTTTATAATGTACAAATTTATTCATTCACCATAGTATACTGACTTAAAGTTACTGATTTCAGCATTTTCTATTGATTAAATTATATAACAGAGGAAATTTAGCTTAAGGTATTGAAGAATAGTGGGTTAGAATATAATAAAAATAAGGTGGTTATAACTAACCAGGTGCCAATGCTGATAGTAAGATTATATTAATTTTCTAGAATGAAGAGTTGGAAGCAGTGTTATATAAAAACATTTCTATATATATTCTGATTTATACCAAAACTCTCTCATAGTTTGCTTACCTCTTCTGATCCTTCTGGACTAGGATAATATGTAAAATAGTTCCCAAAATAGGCTCCCTCTGATTTGAAAACAGATCCATCTCCAGGATAAATCTCTATTGAGTTCACATTTTTATGAGTAAGCCTAAGGAAGAGAAATAATAATTGTTTTTATAATTGACATTAAAACATATCTGAAAGGAGTCATCAAAAAAGGGACTAAGCAAAGAAGTACTTTTTTGCTTATATAGAGAAGTGGATCATTTTATATTCTGAACCCAACCATATAAATCAACTTTTTTGCAAAAGATAAATAGAACACACAGAAGTTGTTTATGTATTTACTTCAACAACTAAACTCAGAGTTTCTGGAATTCAGGTATCTTGTCTCATTCTCACAGCATCCTCAATGCCAGTCACTGAGGCTGGTACATAAACAGTCACTAAGCGTCAGGAGGACACACACGATTTGAACAGACCAATATCAATGGATGAAATTGAAGAAGTAATCAAAAGACTACCAACTAAGAAAAGCCCAGGACCGGATGGGTATACAGCGGAGTTTTACAAAACCTTTAAAGAAGAATTAATACCAATACTTTTCAAGTTATTCCAGGAAATAGAAAAAGAGGGAGTCCTTCCAAATTCATTCTATGAGGCCAACATCACATTGATTCCGAAACCAAACAAAGACACATCAAAGAAAGAAAAATACAGACCAATATCTCTGATGAACCTAGATGCAAAAATCCTCAATAAAATTCTGGCGAATCGGATACAAAGGCACATCAAAAAAATTGTGCACCATGATCAAGTAGGATTCATCCCTGGGATGCAGGGATGGTTCAATATACGGAAATCAATAAATGTTATTCACCATATCAATAGACTTAAAGATAAGAACCATATGATCATATCGATAGACGCAGAAAAAGCATTCGACAAAGTACAGCATCCCTTTATGTTCAAAACA